GACTAAATGTAAATGTAATATATATATATATATATATATATATATGTATGTATATGTAGTCTTTTGCATCTCTAGAATGCATGCAGTCCTCGCTACCCTAACTAGTACATACTGATGCTGGAGACAAGTTAATTTTCACCTGGTAATACATGAAAACAATGTCATTGGCTTCTGAACAGATTGAGCCATATGTGTTGACAGAGCATCCATATCCATCTGTTGTGTTAGGGGGAGGTGTGGAAATCTATATTTATAGCCTCCCCTCATCACCCAAGAACCCAGTCAGTTCTGCTTGTGTTTTTAGTGAAAGCACTTCTTGTTTGTGCTTTACAGGATAATGTGAACCGCTCAGCTGGGCTAACTCCCATTGCGGTTTTAGCTCATCCAGAATAGAAAGCTTAACATATTCTCACCACACCTGAGGTGGCTGTCTAGTAGCGAGCTGGAAAATATTAATGGGATAATGTACAGTCATAATCACAAAATAAACTCAGACAGGGTTTGTTTTGTGATAGTGAGCAGCTGACTGAACATTATCCAGAATTATGTGGCTACTTAGCAAATAAATAAATAAATGGACCTGAAATATTAGTTTATTAGCTACTATGAGGCTGCAAAGAGAATGAACAGCACAGCTATGTTGGAAACACAAGTAGGCAGTAACATATATAGCGTTGCTATGGGCAACAGTCATTATTCAGAAATATATCTGAATGTTGCGATTGATCAATCAAAATCAAGTATTCCATATAAAGCAATACATTAGTTTGACGACATGCTAGTTTTACAGTATAAGTATTGACAAGAGCTCTGCTAGTGTTTGCATCATCAATACATAATAAAACACATTTTATTGATACATATTGCTTTGAACAGAGTTTAACTGAACGCACAGCCTTTTTTCCTCACGTTTAACATATTATTCATCACAGAATTATAAAAAAAAATCAGTGTATTACATTTTCCACAAATATTAAGCAGCACAACTGTTTTCAACACTGATAATAATAAGAAATGTTTCTTGAGCAGCAAATCAGCATATTAGAATGATTTCTGAAAGATCATGTGACTTGGAGTAATGATGCTGAAAATTCAGCTTTGCATCACAGGAGTAAATTACATTTTAAAATAAATTAAAATAGGAAACAAATATTTAACCCCCTGAGGTCGAAGTCCGCACTGGTGCGGTCTGTCTCGTATTTTCTTGATGAGAAAAAACTACAAATACTCCTTCATTTTTGATCGTACAGATAAGAATAAGGTATCATTTGAAACTGCAAAGGGTCTACTTTTATTTGTGTATAGTCATAATAACAACAAAACAACATGCTTTTGTAAAATAAAGAAAATAAACAGGGTGCGCTCTGTGCCGTCTCTGTCACCTCTCTTCACAGGCATGTAAATAAAACAACATGAATCTCCACGAATACTTGCCTCAAAGACATGAGAGATATGTGTATAGAAAGCTTGAAGTGTCTACTTTTAAATGAAGTAGCCTAAGTCACGTCCAAAACAAATATTCTGTTAAAGTAATCCATATGAAACCAACGAGATGTCCAGTTTTTCCTGTCTCAACTCATTATCTCTAATGCGGTCACGCCCACGAGCCGATCGCGCTTTTCAGATTCTAAACATCCACGTGAGACGCGCGTGCATGTAAACACCCACATCGCCTCCGCGTAAACAAACAAGTTCATCCCGGCTACTTTTTGTTTCTGGAAGAAGACGCGCTGAGAGGAATAACCAAGAATTTACCTCAGAAAAAGAACACAACGCGATGCGTCGCGCAGCTAGATCCAGTGGAGAATATCATTCTGATGAGTAGCCTAAGATTACTTGCATCTGTTGTTATTGTGTTATTGTGACATAACTTGTACACATGTCTATCAGGTGTGAATCACTAAATATTCATGTTCATTCACTCCCTCGCATACGGGCATTCTAAACTCTAGTCTACCACATCCAGTTCTAAAAAGTCTTGTGAACAAATATTCTGTATGTGTTTTATGGCCTTATTTCAGTGACTTAAAAAATTTTGTTTTTCACTAACCACGCATAAACATTGTTTTCTCAAAAACACAAACATGTACATTCATGCTGCTCACATATTATTGTAGCCCAGTTTGTGCTGAATACAGTGTTATCAGACTTTAGCCATTAAGATTTTTTTTAAGATACTGAAAAAAACACAAATGTCAGGGCATGCCAAAACTTCTCCAGGGCCCCAAAACACCCTCAGACCCCAGAGGGTTAAAATTGTAGTAATATTTAACAATATAATTGTTTTTACTGTAGTTAAAGAAATGCAGCTTTGGTAAGCATAAGAAAAAACCCCGATAGAAATTGTTGTTCTAATTCATCTGACATATTAGTAGCATGTTGCAGTTGAGTGAACATGCTAAAAATGACATCTTCCAGATGAAAAAGCTTCATCAAAATGCTAAAGTGTTAGTATTACATTTCGGGAAGATGTGAATCGCAACATCTGGGAAGATAAACCACTGTGTACCTCTGCTGTACCTACTTCCTTTTTGAATTCTATCAGTAGACACCATTAGCAATGAAGCACCAGCTCTTATGCACTGGAAGAGAAAGAGCTAAAAAGATTCCTCACTTTTCTGAAAGTCTATAATGAGCACCCGCTGATACAGAGTCAAGTGCTCCACGCTTACGACGTCAGCCACTGCAGTACGCGCAAGACTGTGTGTGTGTGTGTGAGTCACGCTTGTTCTCGCATTGACCCGTAGTCACATTCTCATGCATCATCCGCTCACAGGGCATTGCTGTGGCATCCTTTTTTGTTTGCAAATCAGGCCGACACAAGCCCACATATGCATATTTTCCTTTTTCGCAGAGGAATAGCCTCACGGTTTAGTGGCTGTTTGTAAGGAACGGTCAGTGCAGCACATTGTTTTCGGTGCTTCCTTCTGTAGGCAGTTCATCAAAATGCTTCTTTCTGAGTCACGAGTCCAATAAAAGCTGTTGTTTTCTGAATGGACACCGGGCAGTGCTCCCAAATAAGCCACTTCATTCATATCAGTGTTTTTAAATTAGCAGCAGGGGTTGTTTTGGTTGTATTTTTTTTAGATTGCACTCGTTTTAAATCTTCTGTAGCGGCTAGCCTGCAGAGCTAGCATTACATAAGTGTGTCACTTTGAATAACGGCATGCCGGATTTCCACTCTGCCTTTTTTTCCATTGTATCTCTCTTTTGTCATGCACTGCCATCCTCCCCCGCGGTCCACCTCGCCCATGAGTGGCAGGTGACATCAAGACTTTCATTGAGCACGCCAGCATGGTATTCAGTGGATAATCTGCATCACACCGGCGACCAACCCCCTCTCTAAGCCGCTACTGTGGCTGTCAATCTCAGATCAGTCGAGCGAAGCTTTATTGCTGCCGACGCATCGTTGTGCTGCCGCACAGACCGCATGATGAATGCTAATGCGGCCAGCGGAAGTCAAATCCTAAGTGATGTGCCAACATGTGAAGGTGTCGTGCAAAAATAGCAGAAAATTCCCTCAGTTAAAATGAACTGATATCAAGAGGTGTAAAATGCAATATTCAGTGTCTTTTGGGGTTAATTGGCATTGTATGCATCATGAGACTCACATTTATGTTTCTAGTTACTATTTCATTGGTACTTTATGAGACCTTGTGACTAGAATGAATGGAAAATGCAATTCTTTTCAAATTATATTAAGTGTTTGACCTTCAAAATTGAGCCTGTGCACTTTAAAACTTGTTTCTGATTGATTCGTCAGTGCATCTCATTCCAACAATTATTCCTAATCTTTCATCAAAATGCAACTCATTTTGCTCAGAAATGCAGCACACCTAACATTGGTTGTGAATGTGGTTCCATGTCTTTAACATGTCTTTTAACTCTCTCTTTCTCTATTGCTGTATTTCACAGGAGTGTTCCTCATTCCCTATGTGTTGTTCATATTTCTGGGAGGCATTCCGATATTCTTCCTGGAGATTGCGCTGGGTCAGTTTATGAAGGCTGGAAGCATCAATGTGTGGAACATTGCACCTCTTTTTAAAGGTTTGCTCTCTATCTTTATGCATTTACTTTTTAAGCTGTGATGCTATTTTAGGTTGTCCCTTAAAATATTGCATTCTTTAAAACATGCATTCTTTATTTTTTTTAGGTATTATATTATATTATAATACATTAAAATATTGTAATGTAACTTTTTTATATTTTTGTATATATTTTTATTTTTTATTTTTTTAATGAAATGGTTTGTATCAGAATTAAGCCACAAAATGTGTTTGTCTTATAAAACTATTACCTATCACAAATTTTATATAAAATTATATTATATAAAATTATATCATTAATAAATTAAGATAGATAGATAGATAGATAGATAGAGTTTAGATAAATACACATGCTGATGTATTTCAAAATTATATGCATATTTTATCTAAAAAAAGGGTACAAATACATTATTAGGATAGTATATAACTTCAGTGAATGCCCTTCAGTATATCCTTGCTTCATTCTGTAGTTCAAAGACAACATGAAATCATATTTGACTCTGTTTACTGCCTTAATTAATGCTTGATTCATCAGCACATGTTATATAAGAGATACTCTACACCTGACGGGCTTTATTTTCAGTTGTCTTTTACTGGTTTGTTTTAGGACTTGGCTATGCCTCCATGGTGATTGTGTTCTTCTGTAACACGTACTACATCATGGTACTTGCCTGGGGTTTCTACTACTTGATAAAGTCCTTCAATTCCACGCTGCCCTGGTCCACCTGCGACAACCCGTGGAACACCGAAAACTGCATCGAGATCTTCCGCCACGACGACTGCCAGAACGGCACCATTGGCAACTCAACATTTGGAAACCTGACGTGCGAAGAGCTTGCTGACGCACGTTCCCCTATCATTGAATTCTGGGAGTGAGTGATTGGTTTTTACGCAGTTCATTTCTTACACAAACAAACAATATTTGAAATGCCTTTCACCACCCACTTTTCTTACGTAAAAGTGGGTGGTGAAAGGCATTTCAAATATTGTTATATAGCAACTCTTCACAAGATGAATGTGTTTAAGAAAACAATGTTTGTTGTTAACAACTAAATGTTATGTTACGGTTAACTGTTATTAATCCCACATCAATACACACATAATTTGCTGTCCGTTAGAAACGAGTGGCATTTCATTTGCAAGTGGTGTTGCCTGTACAAGCTTGAATCTGTATGATGTTTTTGAATCTGCAGTTAGCATTTCATATTATTGGTTATTGAAGATCGTCTATTGACCATTCAAATCGGCTCATGGTTCGTTTTAATGCCCTGAGTGACAGTAGACTATACAGCTCTGGAAAGTCATCACTTTCAAGCTACGTTCGAGTTTATAGATTCAAATAAAAACTGCTTTATGAGCATTATACAGTGCTTTCATTCATGAATGTCATTCTCCAACTCAGGAACAAGGTTCTGAACATCTCTGATGGGCTGGATGAGCCAGGAGTCATAAACTGGGAACTGATGCTGTGTCTTATGGCCGTGTGGGTGATGGTTTACTTCTGTGTGTGGAAGGGGGTGAAGTCAACAGGAAAGGTGAGACTCGCTTTCTTTCTTTCTTTAGTGCTTCTCATTACATGTGTGAACCCTGTGTAGGGTGAAGACAGGTAAAGCAGCACACAGTCACATGGACAGCAGATAATCAAATACATGCACTACAACTTAAGCTTGGTTACGTAACAGTTGTAATGATTGGGGAAGCTACTAGACACTAGTTAAACTACAGTCAAGCTACTCTTACAAAAGCTACAAGCTTCTTACAAAAAGTACTGTTTTAAAAGGAGGTGATATTTTTAAAAATACATTGCCTTTCAAACATTTGGGGTCAGTAATATTTGTTTTTGAAATAAATTAATAGTTTTATTCCGAAAGGATGCATTAATTTGATCAACAGTGGCTGTAATTATGTTGATAATGTTACAGAAGAATTTAAATAAATGCTGTTCTTTCTATTCATCTAAGTATCTTGAAAAAAATTGTATCGCGGGTTCCACAAAAATATTAACTGTTTTCAACATTGATAAGAAATAGGGTTGCAAAAAGGTGGAAAATTTCCATTAAATTTCGGAAATATTCCAGAAATTTTGGAAACTTTCCAGGATTTTTTTTTTGAATATTCAAGGAATTTTTGGGAACGTTTCTGGAAATTTATCGGAAATTTTCCACCCCTTTGCAACCCTAATAAGAAATGTTTCTTGAGCAGCAAATCAGCATATTAGAATGATTTCTGAAAGATCATGTTACACTCAAGACTGGAGTAATGATGCTGAAAATTCAGCACTGCATCACAGGAATATATTATATTTTAAAATATATTCAAATAGAAAGCAATTATTTTGAATTGTAAAAATATATTTCACAATATTACTGTTTTTACTGTATTTTTTATCAAATAAATGCAGCCTTGGTGCGCATAAGAAACTTCAAAAACATAAAAGAAATCTTACCAACCCCAAACTTTTGAACAGGAGTGTATAACTGTAAGATTGTGTAATATATAATTTCATTTAAGCCTTATTTTTCAGGCACAGACACAATGAGAGTTTCTGAAAGAAAGGAACAATTATGGTTACAGCATAAATTTTGTAGTTTTAAGACGGGTTTACTCTTAATGCAAGTAAAAACTACTGGTTTATATAAATGTTTAAAACACAGTCATTTTTATTAGTATTAAAAAAAATATATATATAAATAAAATTAAATAAAGGAGTTAAAATTCCTATATTTTGAATCAGTTCATTTGGATGAATCATTGCACTAGAATGGGTTGGACTTTCAAACAGTACATACGAGAGAGGACAGAGATGATTAGAGATGATATAGTTGATGAACTTTTGTAACAGCTTTCATGTGAGGAGCATACTCACTATATCTGGGAACAGTGCATACAGTATATTAGTATATAGTATATTCCCAGTAATTTCAGCGATTTGTAATACAAATAGCCAGTTGAATCCAGCTTTTTTTTTTTTTTTTGAAACTTTAATGAGAATTTAACAGTCAGTCTGCAGGTCATTTCACATGTACTTATGTAATCTTGCAATTATGCTGCACATAAATTCATAAAAATGTGTTTGCCAAAGACTGCATCATATTGCATTTCCCTTGTGCTCTCAAGTGCAATGTGACTTGCTTGTGTAACCTTGATTTGCATAGCTCCACCCACTGCTGTTTGTCACAGTCGTGCAGGAGTGAGGCAGAAAGGTAACCATAGCAACATTATTTGCAATGGGGGTGTGGCGGGAAATATTACAAAGTGCCAGGCACTGTGAGACTGGTTGGTCACAAGCGGGTGTCTGCAGTGGGACGTGATAAGGTACTCGTACAAATGGCCAACAGCCACATTCTCTCTCCGGGAGGCGGGATCATATGAACCCTTAGTAATATAATAACTTCATTTTATTTCTGCTGCTTATTACTGTATAGAAGGTCATCCTTGTATTACAAACACGTTTCTTCTGCACTAAAGTTACTCCTGTGAACTCAAAGCAAGGCTTAATGTTTCTAATAAACAGCTAAAGAAGGCAAACAGTGGAAAGTAGGTTATTTGAACTCATATTTAGTTCCTAGCTCGTGTTTTTCCTTCATAGTTTTTCGTTGATGGAAAGGACACTGAGTAAGCGTTGAGTCAAGCTCATTCAGATGACTGACGCGCACACACACAGACACACACACACACACACACACACAATAAGCCAGTGTTACAGTGAGCTAATTGGCTATTTCAGAATCTGATTAATCATTACGGGGCAGAAATACTAAGCGGCAGATTACCCCAGATTCACAGGCCTCATGGGAATTAGAACAGAGTTTGTTTACTGACAGTATTTTTAATTCAGGTTTATTTCTGCGTCTTTATAGTCATTTGAAAGTGGGATGGATGTAAGTCTGATCTGATCTACAGTAGAAATATTTGATTTAAACTGACATGCATCAGACAGCTAATACTATGAAGTCTGTTAATAAATCATTACTCCAGTCTTCAGCTTCACATGATCCTTCAGAAATCATTCTAATATGCCGATTTGCTGCTCAAGAAATATTTCTTCAATATCAATGTTGAAAACAGCTGAGCTGCTTTATGTTTTTGTGGAAACCATGATACATTTTTTTTTTCAAGATTATTTGCTGATTAGAAAGTAAAAAAAAAAAAAAAACAGCATTTGTTTGAAATAAATATCTTTTGTAACATAAATGTCTTTACTGGCACTTTTGATCAATTTAATGCATCAATGAATAAAATAATTTATATAAATAATAGAATAGTATAATACTATAATATTAATATATTCGAATATTTATTAAAATAATAATAATATTACATTCATATAATAATATAATAATTATTTATATATGACCAGTGAATTTTCACCCAACATTGACTAGAGTCTAGTGTGGTAGAGAGATTATTAGACCATTTTTCATTGATGTTTCAGGATCCATTATTGTTCAGGTGACATGGCTCTGGACTGTGGACAGACAAAGATGTCGCAGAATGATGTGGAGAATTCAGAAAGCTCTCACCATGCACTGCATGTCCTAAACCGTGACCGTGTTTTTGTTGTAATCGGGCAGCATTGTACTACAGTTGAGCTCGTCTTCCCGAGGGAATTCAGGAGACGGGTTTGCAGGAACAATTAAAGATCTGTGGCTGAGCGGCATGCTTTTAATGCGATGGGCTTGATCTAGAATTGGCTGTCCTACTTTTGTGTGTCTATATGGAGCAATTACAGAAGGCTGCCAGGCTTGTAAGACCATACCTGGCATGTGAGTCAAGTCCATAAACCAGCAAGGCTTGGAATGAGCAAGTCTCATGTAAATGCTCTCTGATAACAATCCGTCTCGTATCATCAGAGTTCAAAGTTCAGAGCGTTTGGACCCAGCCGCTGAATCAATAAACCTCTCCTTGCTGAAAAATCAGTGGTGATCTGATAACAGAAGGCATTGAGACATGCAGTATATGCGTCTCAACTTCATTCACATGACACAATGCTCAGCATGTGACTAACACCGTCCTTGCTGTGAACCCAGAGAGATAAAATGTATTTCAGAGATGCAACGCAGCAGATTCTCTGATATAAATCTACTGATAATATTGGGTTGAACTAGATTATGTTATCTGGATTATATGTGGCTTTCTACGATCTAGCAAATGCACATAAATGACTGCCAAAATTATTTAGCAAGCAAGGACATTTATTAATCATGGAAAATAACATATTGTCAAATATTCTGAATAAAATATAACTGCTACTTTCTCATGCAAAACTCATGTTGTGAATGGTCACCAGGACATTGCAAGGTCGTTGCTAGGGTGTTTTACTAAGTCTGATCTTTCTGAGAAATAATATCACATCTCTGCTTAACAAACATGATTTGAGATATCAGTCATGGCTGTTGCATATGCTGTAGAGGATGAGTTATGTGCCAGAGTTTAATGTTTATACTTCAAATACCCAACGACAGTATTAGCAATATTAATAGTATTAATAAACACCTTAAAGGAATCGTTCACCCAAAAATGAAAATTTGCTGAACAGTTACCTCAAATCATCCAAGATGTAGATGAGTTTGTTTCTTCATCAGAACAGATTTGGAGAAATGTAGCATTACATGACTTGCTCACCAATGGATCCTCTGCAGTGAATGGGTGCCGTCAGAACGAGAGTCCAAACAGCTGATAAAAACATCACAATAATCTACAAGTAATCCACATAACTCCAGTCCATCAGTTAATGACTTGTGAAGCGAAAAGCTGTGTTTCCAAGAAATACATTCATTGTTAAATTGATATTAACTTTAAACCGTTGCTTCCGGCTAAAATATGATTCCTCTGTCCATAATGTTGCTTTGTCCAGTAAAAAAAAGTAGTCTCGTCTGAATTGGGAGAGAAATATGCACAGATCAAGCAACAATTACAAGTAAAAAAAACTGTCCAAAACACTTCTAAGCAAATATATTGGTGTGAGAGGACAACAGGGGTTGGACTTTTTTAATGGAGAAAGTGTCATTATGGATTATAGACTAATATCTTGGCCAGAACTAACAGTTTAAAATTAAATTGACCTTAATGATGGATTTGGTTCTTACAAAAATGCAGCTTTACGTTCACAAGATTCAATTGAGTCGTGTGGATTATTGTGTTGTTTTTATCAGCTGTTTGGACTCTCATTCTGACGGCACCCATTCACTGCAGAGGATCCATTGATGAGCAAGTGATATAATGCTAAATTTCTCCAAATCTGAAGAACAAAATTTTTTTTGCAGATTTTTGGGTGTTTCTTTAAGCGGTGAGTTGTAGGAATGAAAACAGTTGACTTGACTGTCTGACTGTCTGTCTGTATTTTTGTCTTCGACAGATTGTGTATTTCACTGCCACGTTCCCGTATGTGGTCCTGATTATTCTCCTGGTGAGGGGCGTCACACTTCCTGGTGCTTATGATGGGATCCTGTACTATGTCAAACCTGATTGGTCTAAGCTAGGAGAGGCACAGGTGAGACCTTTAGTTCTCTCTTTCAGCTTTGCGAGCATCAATCCTCCCACCCGCTTTGGATAAAATCATACGCTTTTATCCAAATGAATAAATGTAAAAGTAATTCAATACGCTTCATTTTTTTCTCAGTTTATTTACTTTTCTGATACACAATACTTTATAACTGTTTCAGTTTAGTGTTTCTAAGAACGTTCAAACTTTTAAACTCGACTTTTATGTCTCTCTCCAGAGTACCTGGAGCCACTTTGAGCTCAATAATCATTTCAGAGGTGGATCTGTTTGTCTGACTGTCATTACTCTGTCTGTCTCTCTCAGGTCTGGATCGATGCTGGTACTCAAATCTTTTTCTCCTACGCTATCGGGCTCGGAGCCCTCACGGCCCTCGGCAGCTATAACCGATTCAACAATGACTGCTATAAGTAAGCATCCATCACAGCCTTGAAGAGACAAGGACACATTTTTGTTATGGCGTCTTGTGTACTTTCTGAACCAGTGTGTTTTCCTTTTGAAAGACGTTGTGTCTAGTACGTTCACGCCATCAGAGAGTCCTGACCTTGTTTTATATGAAGCTGGATTTGACTGATGTGGCTAGCAAAGAGCAAAGGCCACTCACTTTAATAATAGATCTCAAATGTCCTGGATACATTAGTAACCAGATGCACTGAATCAGCAGTTCTTTGCTTTGACTTTAATGTACAGAGCACTTTGGCTGGTTATATATATACACTGATAATCGGGAATGATTTAATTTAAAATTGTAAATAAAATATTTTAAGATTTTGAAAAAATTAAAATAAGCAAAAGGAGACATAACCGAATAGGCTACTACGAAATTTTGAAATGCATGCACATTTTTAAAATTCAGCTGGTTCACTTGTTAAAAATGTGTGTTAAATGAGAAGTTAATATCATTACTAAATTACTCATTTATTTAATGAATATAATTAATGTCTAAATCAATATTTTGATTCTTTTATTATTTATTTTTATTTTTATTAATTCATTTTATTCATTAAATAATTGTTAATAAATATTTTCATAATAATTTAAAGTATTATTATAACTGTATTATATTTTATTATTAATTATCATTTATTGATAAATGAAAAATTATTACATTATTGTAACCACAGTTATGATACATTTTAGTATGTACAAATTCAAGGTTATACATTTTAAGAGTGCAGTAAAGATGTTTAAAAAGATGTTATTTAATGCATTATTTTCTTTCATGTATAACCTTGAGTAGATAAGTGATGGAATGTATTGTAGCAATAGTTTTAATTATGCACAAGAATATTTAACTGGCAATAAGGTGGCATTGTTATATGTCTTTTAACTGAAATAAAATTATGACATTATAATGCATTATATCTAATGTGTTACACAACCATCTGACTGGATTTAAATAAAGATGCCACAGCAGTTAACGTCTGTGTTTTCTTCTGTTCTCAGGGACGCTTTTGTTCTGGCTCTTATTAATAGTGGCACCAGTTTCTTTGCTGGTTTCGTGGTCTTCTCCATCTTAGGTTTCATGGCATCCGAGCAAGGTGTGGACATCTCTAAAGTGGCTGAATCAGGTAAGAGTCTACAGTCATTTACTTCATTACAGATGACAGATTATATACTATTTTGGATGGTAAGACAAACAAATGTATATTTATAAAGCATTTTTACGTGTCTGCCAGCCCTGAAACAACATGCATCTTAATGCAGGTGTTTAATAATTCACTTTCACTTGTTTTTAGTGCACATAAGTGAATGCATTTTTGACCTGGGGCTGGTTCTTGTAAATCATTTATGAAATCAATATTTAATGCAAGAATGATCTGCTGAAAATGAATGAAACATGCATTGTGTGAGTCATGAATATATGTGATATGATGATGGTGATGATGATGATATTATACAGTAAATTAATTTCAATGCAGTTTGATATGTGACTTGAATTTTGTATTACTGTAAATGTTTATTGTTGGTTTGACAATATAATTGAAAGCAGAATATAAATGAAGATCATGTTTATATACAATGCTATTTGCTGTTAGTCATATTACTGTGAAAGGGACCAGACACTTAGCAGTTTGTTTTATGTGTGTGTGTGTGTGTGTGTGTTTGTGTGTGTGTGTGTGTGTGTGTGTATACTTGTTTGTGTGCGTGAGTTTCTAATGGTAAATAACAGATAATGGTTCAATAATAAATAACTGTATGTCACTCATTATTTTTTATATAGTGTGGGATTGTGTGTGTGTGTGTGTGTGAAAGAGAGTGTCTGTCTGTTCTGAATGCAGGTGTGTGTATGTTTGTGAGTTTTCGACATCACAATTAGGTACAGTCTTCTTCCCGTTTGCTGTGTCCTGAAACACTGAGGAATATATAATTCCCAAAATGTAATGCCTTGATTTTACATACACATTTACATAGACATTGATTACAATTTAATTCAAATTTTATGTTTAGGTTAATAATAATTATGAAAGTGAAATCCTGATCATTCATGATAGAAATGAACAGGCATCACAGACTACACTAATAGTATGCGGCATGAAATTGAAGGCCCCACATGTTCTTGTGTGACGCTCACGCATGTAGACGTGTTAGTTTATAACACATAGGCCTACATGTTTCACATTTAAAGTGTGAACACCAGACGAAGGCTTTCTGTCACTCCGATTTTTGTCAAGCTATCACTAATAATCTGTACATAACATGACCGTCCTACAAGATTGACACTAAATTCATGTCTTTTTACATAAATGTCTTGCTAAAGGCTTGCTAAAGGCTTGCTAAAAATGCATATGAGTGCACACTATAAATGTAGGGAAAGCAAATCCCTATATCTTCTGTATTGATCTCATCAAGAACAGTGACCATAAATCTAGATGGTTAGTAAAATGTTTTATAAATGTTTGTTTTTTTAGCCAACTTCTTCATGCACTGTATAAATAAATTTAAAAAATAAATAAATAAAATTTTTGAGTTGTAAATAAAGCAAATCTTACTAGAGTACATTTGAAAAGAAAATACTATTTAATTCTTTCTGCTTTAAAATGTAATGTTTAATTCAATGTGTTTCTTGCAATTTGTTTGAAAAATGTTCACTTAGAAATGTATTTTAAATTTCACACACACACACACACACGTATATATATATATATATATATATATATATACACACACACACACACACACTTTATATAACTTTTATACGGACATTAGCATAATAAATATGTCATTTTGTGACATACAGGCTTGCTAATAGAATTTTTTTCTCACAAATTATTGTTTAAAAAATTTATATACTGCTTATTTTAATAAGCATCATTTTACTATTTGGTGGTTAAAAGATGTGTGAACATCACGTTATATTCTGAACTAAAGACTTTGTTGATACTTTCATATTTACTGACTCATGGACCCATCATCTGTAGCATGTGCATTTAACAGAATTTAAATCTACAGAATCAGTAAAATGATCGAACTATATCATAATTCACCTTTTGTGTAAAATTTAAATTCAAACTAAAGTTAGCCCCAGAAATGGAAATTAAATGTAATTTAACTATGCTTCTGAATTAGGTATGAAGAAACCTTGGGTAGATAAATCTAGTCCTGGTTTAAAATCGTACAGCGGAGCTCCATTTAGTGCTAGTGGTATTTTACTCTTACCCCTGCATGGTGAATTAGTACTGTCATTTCAGACTCAGTTGAGCTCGCGGCGCAGAAGCAGTGCACTGGTTTGTGAGGCTCAGTAAAGGACAACATGTTCTTGGCCTGAAGGAGAGACTGTGCAGCAAGACTAAATGAGTATGAAGTGATAATATTTTTAAATGACCTGGCAAGATGCCACGGACTTCATACAAAGTGACCCTCACGTCCTTGAAATGAATGACTTTTAATTGGATCGCTGCTCATGCATGTTGGGGTTAACCTACCAGTGTACTGCATGCTTTAAAGGGGTCAAATCATGAGGAATCGCATGTCCTTGCTCTTTTCAGTCAGCTTTCCATGATGCCAAATTAAGTTTAATATTAATTTAAATACTAACAAATTAAATTGAGTGTAGGTTGCAATTATTTCTCAATGAAGTAACCACTGCTTCTGGTTACCTTATTCAAGTCTCTTTTTCATGTTCATATTGTTGTTTTAAATTCAACATAATACACAGCAGCAGATTTACATTTGACAGATTTGGTCACTTGGGTACCAAAATTAGTTGATAATCTGTAATCTGTACGTGGTACCCCTACTGTCACAGATGTAGCTAATAAACCAGGGTTATTGTAGTTAACTAAAACTAAAACCATAAACACATTTCACTACTTCAAATTAAATTAAATGTTATCTGAAATAAAAGAAACGTAACATTTCTCTTTTTAATCAAGTAAATGAAATATATAATACTGCGTTACATGGAAGAGGCAGCTTTTATTTTATTTGGGATGCTTGGATTTCAGGCATCAGAAACCTGAAATATGATTACCCGCATGTTTTTTAAAAATTAAATAAAGTATAAAAAACTAAAATATGATGTTTTTGGCACAAAGGCATTACAAACAGAACTCAGGGGAAAAAATATGATATGGCCCCTTTAAGAAAACATCAAGAATGCACATATGCACACACACAGACAGACATGTTATGAATGTACATGTGTAGGAATGAGTGCGAGTGTGTGTGTGTGTGTGTGTGAGGAACTTTGCCTCTTGAGATGTGCACATCTCGATTTCAAGAGGGGTCCTGGAGCAGTCTGCCAATGCAGGTAAACCTCTGATATCTAATGTTAGCATTTACACCTCTACTACAGCCCAGCCCTAAAGTCAGCACCTACGACCGTCTGCCGCACAGGCAGGGCAGGCCCGACATGCACAGCGCAGCCTAGCCTCATTCCACAATTAGGCTCATCCATCTTAAGAGACAAAGCCAACGTGTGGAAAAACTGTACACCGCCGGCACTCAACGCCTGCTTTAACCCCAACATGATAAAAAACGCTAACGTCTAGCACTAACCTTCTCCAAACAGTCGCTTGATGTTAATATAAGACACGTCTCTCTTCTGGCTCTTCACCGTGTATTTCCATTACATTTGCCTGGATCTTGCTACATTTGTCATAAATCAGGCCTAGTTGTTAGTTCAAAGCTAGTGTCGTAATATCCACTGGTAATACAAACATATTCCACCTCTACTATTCCTTAAAGGGGTCATATAATGAGAAATTTAATTTTACATGATGTTTTCATGCTTTCTATGAAAACTTTGAGAACACAGCTAAAAAAGAGCATTTACTGAAACTAAGCTGTAAAAATATAAAAAATATAAACGCATCAGTACGCATCAGTGACGCCTGTAATTCAATTCAAGTTTATTTGTATAGCGCTTTTCACGATACAAATCATTGCAAAGCAACTTTACAGCAGATTAAGTAACTTGTAACTTGGCCTGTCCTGTCACAGTAATGTAATAATGACAATCTATGGTATATATGATTATTCCTAAACACCAAGTTTGGAAATCCTAAACTCCAAGAGCTACCTAGTGTAAAATGTGTAGAAAATATGTTAAAATGTGCTGATCCTGTTGTGTGTAGCAGAAGAATGTCAACGTTTGATATCAGCGACTGAAGCTTATTTTAATAGTCTTCACATAAAAACTCTTTAAGGATAAGGTGTTTGATTCTTCTATTATAATAATTGCAAGGATAAAATTTCACCCATTAGCGGTGGGCGATATGACCAAAATCTAATATTACGATCTGAGTAATTTTATTCCACGATAACGATATATATCATGATATAGTTGTTTAGTTGTTTGTTGATATAGCTCACTGAAGACAAGTAAACAGTCAGCAATCAAATAAGAATAAGAAACTAATTACAAGCAATAGGACAAAAAACTACAGTAGAACAATTAAATAAAAAATGCTTCACACATTGTATAAAGTAATTAAATGTATAAAAACACTACATATTCTTCACTGTGTAAATTTAATATGCATTTATTCTTATTAAAGTTACGAAAGTGATTTAGTCAAGAGCAGTGAGAGATTTTCTCTCTTTTGTTGTTTGATTAATATGAAAGACAGCAGGAATATTAGACTGCTGTCACTTTAAGAGCTGCCCTGATCCAATATACTTTTACACGTGTTTTCTTTCGCAGCTGTTTGCTTTCACTTAAGACTTACTGTGTTTATGAGGATGCTTGCAAAGACAGGCATTTTGACACATTCAAGTGTGTATTTAACCATTCAAGGTCTATAAATCGGCAAAAATAACTCTCTCAGACAGTGCGCATATACAGCGAAATGAGTTATTTTTCGCTGCAGATTGTGTTTCAATGGCTTAAAATCACTTGTCTTTAAAAAAAACTTGTTTTTTTAAGCGCAATGCTTACAAACGTTACGTTTTCGTGACCACGTAGCACAGTAACGTCACATAAGCGTGTAACTGCGATAGAGACGATAGTCCAAAATTTCTACCGGTATATCACTCACCCCTACCACCCATAGAAACTTGTTAAGTAGGGATGCACCAAAATGAAAATTCTTGTCCGAAGCCGAAACCGAACAAAATGAAACACTGGGCCGAAGGCCGAATACCGAACACGGTTTTTCGAGTTTTTTTCCCCATGCATTTTGCCAATTTTTTTTCACCATTGCATAAATTAAATAGCCAAAATGTGCTTTTTACTGTTTTGTCTTGCTTTTCAAAGAAAAAAATCTATTACAAAACAACAATTTAAAAATATTTAACACTGAACATTTTTAACATTGTAGCAGACACTATACCAACAAAGCACAATTTAACTTAAAGTTAGTAAAATAATATTTTATGGCCATCAGACCCCCTTCTTGAATCAGGCATGTATTTTTTACTGTATAATTAAAAGCAGCCTTGCTGAGAAGAGACTTCTTTTAAAACATTGGAACATATTACAGATGCTAAGTTGAACACTATGTGTGAATGTTATAATAAATGTATTAAGATTTTCCTTGCGCGTTGGACTTTGAACCCTGGTTAACAAGCAGATAGCGTGGCGAGTTCGTGCAGCGCTGTCAGAATACATGCAATGCGTGCGTGTATTAGAAAACATAACGTTCTGCAGTTTATTTACTTATTGTTTAAGGCCATTTCGCGATTTCAATCATCATACGGTAACCAGCAACAATCACCCCTTCCTCTTCTCATCAAAGACATGCAATGCAGTACTAAACAGTCTCTCGCTGTCAGTGCTTGTAATGATTTTTGCGTCTTTCTCTGACAGTTTTAAATGCTTCCACACTGCTGACATGTGTGCTGCATTATAAAGAGTGCGCGCCTCTCACTCTTCGCTGGTTGCTATTTGATGGCGTCATATCATTGTTCGGTACAATTTATTCGGTCTTTTCGACATGAAAAATATTTAAATATTCTTATTCGGCCGAACACCGAAAGAGCTTTTTTTGCTATTTTCGTCTGAATAATTTCGGTTGCCGAAAATTTGGTGCATTCCTATTGTTAAGATTATTCAAAAATAGAATCTAAAATGATCAGAACGTTAATGGAGATGTATTTGATAACTGCTTTCAAGATTGCAGCATTAAACATATACATACTGTATATACAGTATATGTTTTACTTTTCGCAATTGCTATCAGATTAAGAAAAATTTAACCACTGACTTCTTAAAATTTTTATTCACATTTTATTATTTATGAAAGGTTTATCTATAAACTAATACTGTAAAATTACCATAAATTAATAACAGTACTATTTCAACATATGTCTGAAGCATCAGTTGACACCTATAACATGACTCGTCCAGTCACAGTAATGCAATATTGATGAAGTATGATATATACTATTATTCCTAAAGAGCTAGAGTAAAATACATAGAAAATATGTTAAAGCATGTACTGTTCCTGTAGAATCTCTATAGCAGAAGAATCTCAACATAAGAAATCAGCGACTGAAGCATATTTTTAATGGTCTTCACATGAAAACATTTTAAGGATGATGTGTGAAGATTTTATATGATATTAACGGTGCACTAAGCGATTTTTGCCAAACAATGTTGATATTTGAAAGCACCAAAACAAACACGCCCGTACCCCGTCAGGACCTCGCCCCTATTTTGAAATCTCCGCCCCACACGTACGTACGCAACCATGGCAACAACGATCACGGAAACAAGTGAAGATGACACGCAAGCATATTCAAACAAAAGCCAACACGGATAAGTTGTGCGAAACAACACAAAATCAACGTTACTCACTTATCAAGAAGAAAAAACAACGCAACCTCTGTGTCCGATTCCAGGCCTTCCCGCTCCTTGAGTTCTCTCCACCACTGGAAAGCTGCTCAGATATTTACGCGGGTCCTACCTCTTGCTTCTCTGATATTTTCTTCTTTTTTATCTGCCATCTCTCTCTATCTATAGTCGAGCTACTAATATCCGTCCTGTGCACTCAAATTGAGCGCTCTCTTCTCTCTATCATTGCAAGACACGCCCCCTTCCTGCTGATTGGTTACAAGTGTGTTTTGGGACTCGGTCCAACGCTGTGGTCAAAAGTGTTTTTCAAAAATCACTTAGTGCACCTTTAATGTTTGAAATGCCACACATAGAAATGTGTTAATTTATTCAGTAAAATCTAAAATGAAATCTGAAATTATTATCAGAACATTGATGGAAATGTCTTTGATTACTGATTTTAAGATTACAAAAAATACTTTAATGCATATCAAGAAAACATAACATATCCATTGATTTTTTTTTAAAGATATTTTTGTATTCAAATTGTATTATTTATAAAAAAATGTTTATTTAAAAACTAATGCCATAATATTACCATAACAGTATTATTATATTAATAATAATATTTCAACACGTGACTGAAGCATAAATTGACACTCTATAACATGGCGCTCTGGTCACAGTAATGAAATATTGACAAAGTATGAAATATATTATTATTCTTAAATGCTTAAAGTGCTAACTAGAGTAAAATGTCTAGCTAATACATTAAACCCTGTGTTGATCCTGTTGTGTGTAGCAGAAGAATCTCAACTTTAGACTGAAGTTTGTTTTTTAACAATTTCTGATCAGTCTGAGCGGCTCATTTCCATGCAGAATGTTTAATAAATCTATCACAGTGCAATTCAGGCTATTTTTGATGGATGGAGCAGCTATACAAAACAGTGGAAACAATGCGAGTGAGCGCAGCTAAACTTCGCTTCTCATTTCATATGCAGAGGGTGCATACATAGAAGTCATAAAGGCAAAACAACCCATTTATCATGATAATGAACTAAACAACGACTCTTTTATTGTGAAAAACATTACAAACAGCATCAGTGGAATAAATTAAATAATAAAAATATGTGATGTGACCCCTTCAAGTGTTTAGTTTTGCTTCTGTTATGATTACAATAGATAAGCAGCTCATTTTAGACCGAAATGCACAATTATCGGCCGACTCAGTTCAGTTTACATTTCTTCATCTCGCAGAAGCTGTTTGTGTCCCTTTAAATTTTAGGACACAAATCAAGTTACAGAATATTTCAGACGACAAACTCAAGACTCAATTTGTGTTCAATTTGTCTGCTATAAACTAACAGTATTGTAAATTTGTGGACTTGTGTGCTGTGATACTTACTAGTATTATGGCAGATGACTAACGATTTAGACGGCCTCGATGTTAGCATGCACTTACTCTAACGACACGCTGCCTACATGACATTACGGCTTATCTCCGGTAAAAGCATTCGACTCAAATGAACAATATAGAGGAGCAATAAAAAACAATAAACAGTAGGAAAACTCAACTCCCCGCGCACCTTTTTTCCACGAGCTCTCAGTTCGTTTCACTTCATCCAGGTGCTTCTATCTCTCATTCTCTCTCTCTCGCTCTCTCTCTCTGATTGAGTTCTATCTCTCTCTGTTACTGTACGTGTGTATGTGTGTCTGAGTTGTGGGCGGCCTGTAGCCCATGGTGACATGGCTCTCATGTTCCTCTTCTTCCCGTAGGCCCCGGTTTGGCATTCATAGCGTACCCTAAAGCTGTTTCTCTGATGCCCGTGGCTCCGGTGTGGGCTGCCCTATTTTTCGTCATGCTGCTACTGCTGGGACTGGACAGTCAGGTCAGCTCACATATGCAGACATTTTAAGGATCACGTGTGTGGTTTTTATATGATATGAATGGCCAAAGTTTAAAATGCCACCCACAGAAATCTGTGGAAATAAAATTATAAAAAATATTTATTATTATTAGTTTATTTAACAGGGACAATGCAGTATAACATTGCTACAATTTCAAGCAGCCGATGCTCCACATATAGGCTTCTAGCCAAAGGCTAATTTGCAGCCCCAGTCCCTGGTTAGGCTTTTTTAACAACAGTAAAACAATAATCACACAAAAAACTAAGCGAAAGTAAAAAAAAAAAAAGCTGAGACTGTGTACGACCATCAGTGTTCACAAACCTGCTTTTGTTTGAACCACTTTTTTAAATTCTGATTAGTTGCACCTCTTGTAGTGATCCCCTTACTACTCTGTTTTGATATTAATTGGCATATAATGTCTGGAGCAAGATTATTTACACATTTAAAAACCATTTTAATAAGAGACAAATTAATAAACTTTTCAAAACTAAGCAAACTATGTTTTTGTAAAATATTACAATGATGCCATCTATTTGGTTTCTTGTCCAATAGTTTGATAGTCAGTTGAGAAACCTGACTCCAGACAGTCACACAATAAGATAAATGCGAAAAGGCCATTGCATGCATGTATAACTTAGCTGCTTTTAGAGATATATACGGTCTAATCATGTAAAAACAATTCAAGTTTGTTCTGATTGTTCTACACAGCCTCTTTACATGCACATCAAATTTCAAATGAGAATCTAAAATAACACCTAAATATTTACAATTGTTAACTGTCTCTATTGCCTTTTGATTGATCTTAATTATAAAACCACTCATTTTTGCAGCCACTGTGACACACCAGTCATTTCATTTGTTAATATATCTACAGCTAAGCGTGGAGTCTGTGCCGATACATAAATGACCATGTCATCTGCATATAACTGACATTTAGTTTGCTTACAACAATTTGGTAAATCATTGACATATAAGGAAAACAACAATGGACCCAAAATTGACCCTTGAGGGAGACCCATCTCATTGTTTCGTAAAGCTGATCTTGAATTATTTATTTTAACACACTGATCTCGAGATTCTAAATATGATCTAAACCAATTCATTGCCTGCTGAGAGAAGCTAAACAAATTTATGTAGGAGAATTTCATGATTCACTGTATCAAATGCCTTTTTGAGATCTAAAAACACTGCGCCTACTACATTGCCATTATCTAAAGCTCCCTTAATAAATTCTGTGAGAAAGCAGTTTGCCATTTCTGTCGAATACTTAGGCCTAAAACCAAACTGTTTAGAGTGAAGTAGATCATGTTTTTCTAGATAGTTGATAAGTTGTTCAGCTACCAACTTTTCCAAAATTGTAGAGATTGCAGGGAGTATAGAAATTGGTCTATCTGAACCTCATCAACTGATCCTGCCTTAAAAATTGGGGTTATAATAGAAGTTTTCCAATTTGAGGGGAATTTACTTTCTCTAATAGATAAATTATATCAAATTTACAAAGGGCTTTAGCAAACAAGCACTATATTTTTTTACGAATGCGGTATCCATTCCAAATATATCCTTAGCCCTTGAATTATTCAATTGATTAATAATTTGAAGTATCTTATCTTCATCAACCTCAGAGATATAAAAGGATGAGGGTGTGTCATTTATTGCATTTTGAGGTAATTGTACAGGTTCAAAACATATAGCAAGCTCTTCCACAGACTGGATAAAATATCTATTAAATTCATTGGCAATTTCAGTGCTATCAGTACTAAGTCTTCCATTTATGCACAGCTCCAACAATGGTTTTCTTTGTGTGCCTTCTCGTTTAGAAAGTTTGTTAATGCACTTCCAAAGAGATGAGCTATTTCCTCCTGATTCTGCAATCAATTGCTCAAAATATGCAGTTTTCGCCTTCCTCATTTCACTAACTACTTTATTTCTTAACGATTTAAAACTTAGGATAGCTGTCTGTGTTTTTGTAAGCAAAGACTTTTTCAAAGCAAGATCTCTCTTTTTCATTAGTTGATGAATATCTGAATTTAGCCATGGTAGGGATGCACTATTTTGTCTACATTTTAACGGTTGTGTATACTTTTGAATAATTTTTTCAGGTGTTCGCATCACAATTTCAGTTTTTGTCCAGGTCACCAATTTGTAACGCATCATCCCAATTAATATTTTTTATATCATTTTCAAATCTTGTAATTTTACTCTTAGGGATGCCTACTACTCCTGGTTTAAAAGTTTGGCGAAAATTACTCTGCAAACGTTTCTTTGTTAATTTTCTAACAACCAGGATTGTGTTATGGTCGGACTAACCTGTCAGAAGATTATATATTTTTATTACCCTTTCAGGTTTATTTGTAAATGCCAGATCAATAAGAGTTGTACTTGTTTTTGTTATCCTTGTTGGACCTTTTATTAACTGGTTAAATTTATGTTTTGCTGTAATTGATTTCAGTTTTTGCTTACTACGTTTGTCTGACCAATTTATGTTAAAATCTCCAAATAAAACAGTTTCAGTACGACAATTTAAAAACTTTAACATTTCCTCTAAATTATAAATGTATCAACTGATTTTAATATTTTTTATTAATATTTTAGTATTTATAAAGTATTTATAAAAATATTTATCTACAAACTAATACTATAATCTATAAAAATAATAATTATAATAGCTTGTCACTGGCAGTTTTTTTCTAAATATTTTCTAAGTATATTATTAAAACTAAAACAAAAAAAAAATTTAGTTTAAATATAATTTTCGTTAGTAAGAAACATAAACATAACTTAAACATAAGAAACATAAATTATTAAATCTAAGAGGTTTTTATTTCAGTTGTCAGAGGACATTTTCCTTTCATTTGCTGGAGAACTGCCCTTGTGTGTTTTTGAGTAAAATATCACCACGCAACTGAAAATATTTCGAGTTTGATTTTGAAGTGAGCCCATTAATAACACATTTGACCCCTTTGTTTTTTTTCTGCAGTTTGTTGGTGTGGAGGGTTTCGTAACTGGCATTCTTGATATTTTCCCTGGAAAGTATTACATGCGCTATCAGCGTGAAATCGCTGTGGCGATCTGCTGTTTATTATGCTTCATTATAGATCTCTCCATGGTTACACAGGTGAGTCCTCTTTATGAAACACCGCTTCATCAGCTGTGAGAATATCAGCATCAGTCGTGTGGCTCGCCATTAGTCAGATAAGAATATAATGGTTTGTCACAAGTCCTTTCTCTGGGTATTAGATCATCACGCTCTCATTCAGAGGCTGATCTTTCTTCAGTCAAAATTGCTGCCGTATGTGGGAGTGACGTGACTCATAAAGCTCACAGTGACTCGAAGCTTTACACAGAGAAACTTCAAAGAATCAAAGTGAAAATAACCTGACAAGTAGCATTTGTGATATTGATTCATTTGTGTTTTTCAAACACAGATGAAGGTGACAAATTGTTGTGAAGACAACATGAAACAACATTCATGACGCATATAATTCACTCACCTCAGGGTGAAACCAAGTATTAATAATGCAGGGTGGAACTAGGAATTTGATCAGTGAGCTATAATATTACTGGTTAATATTAGTTTTTGATTATGGGAAAATAATAGGAAATATAATTAAAATCAACATTTTGTAGTTGCAACCTCCATTGTGGCATATTTTTGGTTTATAAAATGTCATTTATTTCAGGTTTAGAGCTTGAAAGTAACAAAATTACAAGTCAGGGTTTGTGTTTATGTCCTAAATTTTGAAAGTGCAAATCTCATATAATATGAATATAAAATTACAATGCTCATATTATATTTAGTTTTAATTTTCTAAATAAATGCTGTTCCGTTGAACTTTCTATTTATGTATCAAAAGATGCATAACATTGATAGATATAAAAAATATTTCTTAACAGCAAATCAGCATATTAGAATGATTTCTGAAGGATCGTGTGACACTGAAGACTGGAGTAATGATGCTGAAAATTCAGCTTCGCGTCACAGAAATAAATTACATTTTAAAATATATTCAAAACGAAAACCGTTTTTTTTAATTCTAATAATATTTCACAATATTTTTACTGCAAATGAATGCAGCCTCGACTGGCATAGTAGAATTTTTTCAATAATATAAAAAATATATATATCATACCAACCCCAATCTTTTGTATGCTTGTATATATTTATTCTACCACTATATTATTCTACTATTTGTGGGAAATTTCATATTTGTATTTATTTTTTCTCTGTAAAACAACATGACTGATTGTGAGGCATTTATGAAGTAAAACGGGTCTATTTTGATTTCATATCCAGGGAGGGATGTACGTCTTCCAGCTTTTTGACTACTACTCAGCCAGTGGAATTACCCTACTGTGGCAAGCATTCTGGGAATGCGTGGTTGTCGCGTGGGTTTATGGTGAGAATCTCTTCATGCAGTCTCATCAGTTTATCAGGAGTACTGTAGGCATTTCTCTTATAAGAGTAGCTTGTAGGACCCTGTGCTGACAGTAACACTGCTGTAATCCCACACACACCCAAAAGAGCGCTGACTTCATGCCGCTGTGTGCAGGTGCTGACAGGTTCATGGATGATATTGCCCGTATGATCGGTTACCGGCCATTCCCGTGGATAAAGTGGTGCTGGTCCTTTATAACTCCATGTGTTTGCATGGTGAGTGCTGGAAAATACTCCCACCTGTTCACGCTTTTTAAAAGTGGTTACGTCTGTCAATATTTATGCCATTTAACCCCTCCTTTTGTGTTCAAAAACTGGATATAACTTTTGTATTGTGGGTCAAATTGAGCCACATTGGTTTCCATGCAATTTGCCAGAAATCAACACTATGAAAAACAAAAAAGATTCATGTAAACACAGAAAACCTCTTGTAGCTTGTCAGAGAGATTTAATAATTCCCATCTATTTCTATTGTGTTAAGGGTCAATTTGACCCATATATTTTTGTTCAAAATAAGCTGCACTAAAAAGACACCAAAAAAAGATGGGGTTCTTTTGTCATGACCATCTGAGTATATATTGGGTTATTTTAGTATCATTAAGATACTATTATAGCTTTTATTTTATTTATTTTTTATATATATATATTTTTTCTGTTTTCATTTTAATTCTCATTAAAGTTTTAGTAATATTGTGTTTTTGTCATTTTTGCATTAGTTTTCTTTTTTAAATATGTATATATAATTTTTTTAATAATTTTCATTTCATTTTTACTTTTAGTTATTTTAGTGCAATAAGCGTGACTCATAAAGCTCACAGTGACTCGAAGCTTTACACAGAGAAACTTCAAAGAATCAAAGTGAAAATAACCTGACAAGTAGCATTTGTGATATTGATTCATTTGTGTTTTTCAAACACAGATGAAGGTGACAAATTGTTGTGAAGACAACATGAAACAACATTCATGACGCATATAATTCACTCACCTCAGGGTGAAACCAAGTATTAATAATGCAGGGTGGAACTAGGAATTTGATCAGTGAGCTATAATATTACTGGTTAATATTAGTTTTTGATTATGGGAAAATAATAGGAAATATAATTAAAATCAACATTTTGTAGTTGCAACCTCCATTGTGGCATATTTTTGGTTTATAAAATGTCATTTATTTCAGGTTTAGAGCTTGAAAGTAACAAAATTACAAGTCAGGGTTTGTGTTTATGTCCTAAATTTTGAAAGTGCAAATCTCATATAATATGAATATAAAATTACAATGCTCATATTATATTTAGTTTTAATTTTCTAAATAAATGCTGTTCCGTTGAACTTTCTATTTATGTATCAAAAGATGCATAACATTGATAGATATAAAAAATATTTCTTAACAGCAAATCAGCATATTAGAATGATTTCTGAAGGATCGTGTGACACTGAAGACTGGAGTAATGATGCTGAAAATTCAGCTTCGCGTCACAGAAATAAATTACATTTTAAAATATATTCAAAACGAAAACCGTTTTTTTTAATTCTAATAATATTTCACAATATTTTTACTGCAAATGAATGCAGCCTCGACTGGCATAGTAGAATTTTTTCAATAATATAAAAAATATATATATCATACCAACCCCAATCTTTTGTATGCTTGTATATATTTATTCTACCACTATATTATTCTACTATTTGTGGGAAATTTCATATTTGTATTTATTTTTTCTCTGTAAAACAACATGACTGATTGTGAGGCATTTATGAAGTAAAACGGGTCTATTTTGATTTCATATCCAGGGAGGGATGTACGTCTTCCAGCTTTTTGACTACTACTCAGCCAGTGGAATTACCCTACTGTGGCAAGCATTCTGGGAATGCGTGGTTGTCGCGTGGGTTTATGGTGAGAATCTCTTCATGCAGTCTCATCAGTTTATCAGGAGTACTGTAGGCATTTCTCTTATAAGAGTAGCTTGTAGGACCCTGTGCTGACAGTAACACTGCTGTAATCCCACACACACCCAAAAGAGCGCTGACTTCATGCCGCTGTGTGCAGGTGCTGACAGGTTCATGGACGATATTGCCCGTATGATCGGTTACCGGCCATTCCCGTGGATGAAGTGGTGCTGGTCCATTATAACTCCATGTGTTTGCATGGTGAGTGCTGGAAAATACTCCCACCTGTTCATGCATTTTAAAAATGCTTACGCCTGTCAGTATTTATGCCATTTAACCCTTCTGTTGTGTTCAAAAACTCGATATAACTTTTGTGTTGTGGGTCAAATTGAGCCCCATTGGTTTCCAAGCAATTTGCCAAAAATCAACACTATGAAAAAGATTAATGTAAAAACAGAAAACCTCTGTTGTAGCTTGTTTGTTATCTGAATATATATTGGGTTATTGTAGTATCATTGAGATACTATTATAGTTTTTTTTTTAAATATTTTTTAAAATATATTTTCTGTTTTCATTTTAATTCTCTGTTTTTGTCATTTTTCATTAGTTTTTTTTTATATATGTATATCTTTTTTTTATCATGTTAATTTCATTTTTACTTGTTATTTTACTACATCAAGATGAACTAACTGAAAATGAGATAATGCCATAAAAGTAGTTTATATTTTATTTCAAGATGTTTTGTTTCAAGTTTTAGTGAACTATAATAACCCTGGTATCTAACATTAATTGTACTTAGTGTAAGTAATATTTTTTTGCTATTTGTACTACTTCTGCCTTTTTATAATTTGTAATTTTCTTGTAATTGAGATCCAAAAAACTAACGACCAAAAACAGTGAATTTTCCTTGGAAGTCTTCAGTTTCGAATAAACGTTGAGTCTTAAATTTCATAAAGTCTAATACAATAAAATATATATATATAATACAATAAAAAAATACAAAAAATAAATACAATAAAAGTTTTTTAAACAGCATTTTTTTAAGTGTTGACAAAAATTGCATGGAAACCAAGGAGGTCAATTTGACCCACAACGCAGAAGTCGTCACAAATTTGTACAGCCTTTCCAAAACATCTTATGTGTCAAAACTTTGCATGCTCATTCATGACCCTAAATGAGAACTATTTACAAAATGTCCAGAAATAAAGGCAGTTTGAAAATCAAATGTGGGTCAAACTGACCTAATCAAGGTTAATTCTATAAAAAGACCTGCTAGACTGCTGCTCCTGTATTATTCAATTAGATTGTTGACTCTGATATTGTTCTTTATGTCTTCAGGGTATCTTTCTATTTCACCTGCTGAACTACAAGCCTCTGACCTACAACAATGTGTATGTGTACCCGTGGTGGGGAGAGGTGATCGGATGGTGTCTGGCTCTCTCCTCCATGCTCTGTATCCCCGTTAGCCTTGTGTACAAGCTCGCTGGAGCCAAGGGAACATTCAGAGAGGTTTGCACCATTTCAACCTATTCAAACCACTGCTCCATTAGCCAACACATAAGAGGTGTAGAGAGCATTGAACGAGTAGCTTTGTTTGTGCATCATTCAAATTCTGAGTATCGGCCCCACAAACAACAGTTAGTGCAAACAGTCCAAAAACAGCAGTTTATTGTAGCTGTCGATGCATGGGTCAGTTACCTCACTGAAAAGCATCAGAATTACTCATGAAAAAGCGATGCGTGTATTTATAGTAACTAGGCTAATGGTTGTCATTCTTCTGCAGATAGACCACAATGCTTCAACCCCTCAGTGTTTGCTTCCAAACACACACTGAATACAGTTGAGGTCTGTGGCAGGTATGTGTAGGAAAACTAGTGCAGGATGCTGGAGGAAATGGAAAATAATAGGGCTGTCAGTCAAATGAAATAGTAATTGTGATTAATCTCGCGCTTTTATAGTGCGGTGAGGCATTCCGTTACTTTTTAAGGAAAGAAAACTAAATTTTATTTTGGGGTTTAGCAATTTGTGAGGATGACACTTGGAAAATATGCTGATATCTATATAAGAATACAGGCCAGAGGGAAATTTGCTCAGACAGACTAAAATCAATCAGATTATTATTTCTCAAACTGCATCGCAGCAAACAATGGGGTTGTGATGGTGAGGAAATTTTTCCACCAGTTAATCGACATGTGACAACACCGGTAATACCGGTATCACCGTTGGGGTGGGGGTGGGGGTGGGGTGGTGTTAGTTAGTTTGAGTTTCCCTCTTTTCTTCACTTTCAAATGGCTTGTAAAAGTGCCGTGCGCATTTTACTTTCACTTTCAAATTAGCGGCAATTGAATTGCCACAATTCGGCATTAAAGGGGTCATATGATGCGAATTCAAGTTTTCCTTTCTCTTTGAAGTGTTACAAGCTGATTGTGCATAGATAAGATCCCTGAAGTTGCAAAGACTGAACTGGACTAAATGATTTTTGTTACTATAAAAAAATCAAAACGATGGTGGGGGGCGGTGCCGCGGTAGGCAAATGACCTAACCGGTGTTGCGGTATAACCGAAAACACCGTTTATCGCAGCAAGCCTAGCAAACAAGAAATGTAAATATGGAGGTCAATGTAACTCTGCTGATATTTCATTTGTTGAGCTTTATTGTGTTGTTTTAGTATTATTTATACTATTATAGTATGTATTAATAAATTAAAAATGTGCTTTATTTTTTATATTTTACGATTTAATTTAAGTTTTAGTAATTTTTTTCTATATTTATTTTTTGCTTTATTTTATCTTTTATTTTATTTATTATTATTAATTTTAGTTGATGTGGGGGGAAAAAATATAATTTTTTTTACCTCATTGTAATTAAACAGTAGAGATGTTGTACTGCTGCATTACCTCGTATTAATTTTTGTTTTAATTCACCTAAAATTAAGGAACAATTTAATAAATCATAGTAACAAATGAAGGTTTTTTTAAAGTAATTTTTATTTGTGTTTTATGGTGTATTTTTTATGTCATTTACAGTTTCTCAAAACTTTAAAAATGTATTAAGTTTATCTAATTTTTGCATTTTATTACTGCTTCTGCTAACGAAAAAATGCAAAAGAACAACCGTACAAAGAATAAATCTATGTCTGATTTATAAATAACTGTAAACCGTCATTTGCAAGTGTTAACTCCGTCAGTCCTTGAAAATAATGTGGGATAACGTGGGGAAACCTACTGACACACTAAATGGAAATGTCAGCACAGATTTGTTGACACAAAGCTTAGTCTGATTGTCATTAATTGTAATTTTCACAGCTACAATAAATGACTTGTAGTTGTCTTCTCTAAACTAGCTTGATTTTATTCAGAATGCATACATTAGGACTACATGAGCTGCTTCAAATCATTATGTGTTTTCGTTTTTCCTGCATGCAGCGCTGGGAAACTCTGACCAAACCAGTGTGGGGAGCCCATCACCTCGAATACATGGCCCCTGACACTGACATTAAAAGCCTGGCCTCTCTGTCTCCTGGAACGGAGGAGAACAAGGTGATCATTTTTGAGAGTGTTATGTAGGTCAAAGGGAAAGCTCCCTCCAAAGGCAAGCTGGTTGAAGAAATCGTCAGTATTTTTTATTTTTTTTTTTACATTTGATGGAATTCTGCATCATCTTACAGTCTTAAAACAGCTGATGGAAATTGACGGTTACTTTTTGTTTCATCATACTACAGATCCTCTAGCAGATGCTCTTCCACCTGTTAAAACTGCAAACTATATACATGATTTTTAAGAAAAATTATGTGCAAAGTTTATTGCAGATATCAAGATTTGCGGGGCAAAATCAGCATGTCTTTGGAGGGGACAGTATAGTGTAGCCTATAACATTATTTCACAGAGCGGCAGAATTCCCACAGGCCACTTTCCTGAACGTGATATGGGTCTCTTTGCACTGACACGAGAATCAAATCTGAGCAAGAAGCACATGGTTAAAATGAAGCAAAATGGGAAAAAAAAAGATTTACAAATGCATCCTTGACTTAAATTGGCCCAATACACATATACACACACACGATAGTCTCAAATTCATAAAATCTCATGCATATGTAAATTAAAATAATGTACACTTCAATAAACAGTGTTGCATTTAACTGATCAGCAAACACAGATACAGATGTAACAATCAAACTAAATGTGTCTTTGCAGATTTCACGTCAATAAGGCCACATGTAGTTGCCAAATGATGAAAACTCATTTCTGTAGCTTTCTTTTGATGTGTCTTCGTCTGAGACAGTTGACCTCAATTCCTGGTGCGTGATATCACAGCGTTTACTGGAAGTGCCAAACAGAGCGCGACTTCCCATCTCTGCTCAGGCTTGTCAGGAGATGGTTTTGGTTGCCATAAATAAAATCAATATCTTCCTAGTTCATCTGAAATGTACTGTGTGCTCGATCTATCCTGCACATCAAGAGATGTGTGTTTGGAAACATCTAGAGAGTTTTTAGCAGACACAGGCAGGATTTCAACTGAAGAAGTGGCACTTTTTTAAGGTGCTTGTAGGGCTGCACAATTAATCGAATTTCTAATCGTGATTACAATTATGGAATTATGGACGCCACAATTACGTAATCGTTCTAAGTGGTGCTTGTGAACCAAAAGTTGCATTTTATTAAAGTCAACATGAAACATCCATTTTTCACAATGCAATTAATCATTTATGTGGTTTTACTCTGAATAACATCACTTTACTCAATTAAAATGGGCTTCAAGCAACGTCTCATGCCGACTTTAATTAGAAGTTTACAATTTTAGTTTCAGTTCTATATTTTGAGTGCCAGTATTAATATGATTTCTAAGATTTTTAGTTTATGATTTTAAATCATAATGGAAACGCAATGGAAGTTATTTTTTTTTAAATGCAAAAAGCAAATAAAACATTGTAAAGTTTCACAGAAATGCATATTATCATAAAGATTCATCTAGCTTTAACTAACAATTTAATAACTGCAGACAGTAGTAGGAATATAAGAGATAAATGAAAAGACAACGATTATTGAAAACACAATTTGAAATGTTTTCCACCTGGTAGAGGCAAGTTTTTTTTATTTTTTGCCAATGTCAATTTTGCAGAACACTAAATATCCGAGAGGAGATCTTGATCTCTGTTGTTCTGCTGTAAACACGTTGCAGTTTTTGACACATAGTTGCCAAACTTTGCCTTTATTTGTCTTCATTGAGAACCGATAGACAAATAGCCAAGATTAACCGACAAACCGGCCTCATTCCGACCTGTGGGAATTCTGCCCTGAAGATAATCAACTCAAACACTAAATCATGTACAAATTAGACTACATAATGTAAGGCTTCAGAATACATTTGCACATTGTTGTAAAATAATCTGCTAGCACTTTTTAATCGTGTTAGAAAGTTTTTTTCTTCTTCTTGTGATTTACATACTGTAAAATAAATCAGAGATTTATTTTGTGAAGGCTATTATTTTGCTTATATGCATATAAATATAAATACATATTGATATTTGTGTGTTATATTTTAACGTTTGATGCTGTATGTACTTTTGATAAAGATGATAACATGGAGTGGGAATTCTTAGTGAAATGCTGCAAAGCAGTTGCCGGGAGGCATATGAGACACAGAGACACACAAACTTTGTTTTATTTGAAATATCAAGTGCTGCAGTTATTAAATGTTTTAGATTGTGTGTGTAAAACTCCAGTATTTTCTGCTGACCACCCAGAATCCAGCTCGATTTGGTTTTCATTGAACATCTAAATTGGAGACGGCGCTTACATTGTTGTTTTAGTTATAATTTAATCTCTCACTGTAAAATACCCATAAACCAAATGTCTATGGTTTTGAGGAACACTAGAACATTTCCATTAAAAAAAAAACATTCAGCAGTTTCCCCCTTAAATGGGTTTATATATATATATATATATGTGTGTGTGTGTGTGTGTGTGTGTGTGTGTGTGTGAGTGTCCATTTTAGTGGCACATCCATTCATTCCCATAGAGTTCAACATGCCTTTATGAGTGAGAATGAAATTATCTAAGTGCCCCTCAGACATCTGAGGACTAAGTTAACCTCCTCACCGCTTCAAAATTAGAGATACTAGTTTACCAAAGGCCTTAATCGTTAACCATTTAGTCCAATTTCAGTTAAAGGAATAGTTCATACAAAAATGAAAAATTGCTGGAAATGTACTCTCCCTCAGGCCATCCAAGATGTAGATGAGTTTGTTTCTTCATCAGAACAGATTTGGAGAAACTTAGCATTACATCACCAATTCCTCTGCAGTGAATGGGTGCCGTCAGAACGAGAGTCCAAACAGCTGATAGAAACATCACAATTATCCACAAGTAATCCACATGACTCCAGTCCATCAATTAACACCTTGTGAAGTGAAAAAACATGTGTTCGTAAGAAACAAATCCATCAAGATGTTTCTAAAATCGGTTTTGCGATAGTGATGCTTTGATCAGCTCTTTGAGCTCTTATTCTGATGGCACCCGTTTGATAGCATCAACATGTTGGATGGCCTTAGAGTGAGTAAATTGTCAGCTATTTTTTATTTTTGGGTGAACTATTCCTTTAAACAAGTCAAACTGCAAAGAAAGAATCCGTCAAATCAAACACTAATTCTCACCATCAGAAAAATTCATTTCTTTCCATCCAAATAAGCGCCTGGGTTGGTCAGTAGATCAATTATTAAATAGTGATCACATGTAGAAATGTTTATCTAGAAAAAATACATGTTAACAAAATAAGAAAAAAATGTTTTATGTCATTTATTATGCTCTGCCAAATGTTCTCGACAGTATCTTTGCACTGAAGGTTTGCTGAATGTTTGTCGAGCTATAGAGAGCAAAAATTTCACAACGTCCTTAAAGCGAACGGTGAACAGCACAGTAGACCGTCAAATCAAACACTAATTCTCACCATCAGAAAAATTCATTTCTTTCCATCCAAATAAGCGCCTGGGTTGGTCAGTAGATCAATTATTAAATAGTGATTACATGTAGAAACGTTTATCTAGAAAAAATACGTTAACAAAATAAGAAAAAAATGTTTTATGTCATTTATTATGCTCTGCCAAATGTTCTCGACAGTATCTTTGCACTGAAGGTTTGCTGAATGTTTGTCGAGCTATAGAGAGCAAAAATTTCACAACGTCCTTAAAGCGAACGGTGAACAGCACAGTAGAATCACAGCTGAATCAATCTCAGAATACAGTTCATTTATTAACTAAATTAGCCTGTTTAATGATTCCAAAGACTTAGTTACAGATTCAGTAGAACCAAACCATAAAGCAGACCTCGAGAGGACCATCTAATGAGAGAGTCCAAAGCTTTGGGTGACGATACTGTCTTGAAACATCACAGTTGACCTGGTTATAAGCTCATTGACGTCTTTCATTCTTGTGGTTTGTAACACACTGTGATGTAACCATGGTTGTCCATTTTTAACTCTAACAGTAGTAAAGCTAAAGGTAACTGTACCGTGTGTGTTAGTGTCCCATCTAACAGGATCCCTCTCATGTAAGAAGGGCTTCATGCTCCACCACTGTGATCTTGTGCTGATCCACCTGCCCAAGTAAAAGCAACAAATGGCAATAAACTAACTCCATGAAAAATGTCTCATTGCAATTTTTTATTGTTGTGGTCTCAAACACTGACCAAGGAGAAATATATTATATATATATATATATATATATATATATATATATT